TTTGGCCAGAGGATTGCATTGTCAAAGACGAGTGTCTGAACGCTCCTTCTGGGGCCCGTTGCATAAAACTTACCATTGATGGTAACTTTGCCATCAATGGCAACTACCATGGTAACAGGGCTCAACAGCCAATCAAAATCAAGGTTTCCATGGTAGTTACCATTGATGGCAAAGTTACCATCAATGGTAAGTTTTGTGCAACGGGGCCCTGGTAAAGTGGGAAGACGCCCTCTTCGGCATGGATTATCTCATTTTTCAAGACATTATGGTTTCGGGTTTCATCTGGCAATTGGAATGGAAGTACTACTTAAATCTTATTCATACACGGGTAGTTAATATAATAAAATTCATACACTTATCCGATAAGAGTAATTTTAGGGCAAACACATTTAAGCCTATACATTGATAAACTGCCAAGTCAGAATTTAGTTGTATGTGCAAATAAAACACAATGCTAAGCATCGATTTGAATAGTTCACTGTTATTATTAGGATAATTTGACGGAAAATTATTGTCAGTCAAATTTTTAAACGAATCGTTTCATTCTACGAACTGTTCTTATTTCGACGTTCAAACACTGCGACATGATCAAACAAGTAGGGATACTGGCTTGTTAAAATCCAGTCACATTGGGGCACAGGAGAAACCATTCACCTCACGAGGGCGCTGTTTCATTACTTGATTTGTCTGCAAGAGAGTGTGGTAACAGGGTGGTGGGAGGGAATGGGGTATTTTGCTGGCTGAATTACGTTTTTAATTTGTTAATGATATCATTGATGATTTTCTTGCCAATATTATATTATAAAACTTATTTTCGAATATTTTTGGTTATTGTTATGAAATATTCTATATATGAATATTATTTTAATCATATTCTTCATTAGTTCAACCTTCAATTATTCATATATTTAATGTCTCACCTCACTTTTACTAGACTAAGAATTTTTAAACCTACCTATATGATTAGGTGGTGGGGGGGGGGGGTTAGGGGCTTGAGGCCGTCGTAATGTCTTGTTTATATATTTCCTTTGTTCTCTCTTTTTACTGATAATAATGATAGTGAGTTATTTTATAGCGCTCATGTCTGTCAGACTTGACACTCCTGGCGCTCCACAAGTATAACTTTTACTTTAGCATGGCTGCCATAGCTCTAGCTCTAGCGTTTCAAGAATTTAATTCTTGCCAGGTACCCGTTTACATCACCTGGGTCAAAATATGTAGAGTAATGTATTGCCAAAGGACATTAGTGCTGCGGTGGGACACGAACCGCAGACCTTGGGATCCACAGTCCGGTGACGTATCCACTCGTCCACGACACCTCTACTAACTTTTCGCTCTCTCTCTCCCCCCTCTCTCTCTCTCTCTCTTTCCCTTTCTCTCTTCCTTTCTCTTTCTCTCTCTTTCTCTCTATCTCTCTCTCCATCTGTGTGTGTGTGTGCGTGTACGTGTATGTGTGGGTGTGTGTCTCTCTCTCCCTCTCCTCCATCTTTCTCTTTCTCTCTCTCCCCTCTATCTGTCTCTCTCTCCCAATCTCTTTCTCTCTCGCTCCCACTCTCTCTTTTCTCTTTCTCTCTCACACACGGTTGTGCTTAACATGAAGGATTTAGGTAAGTTAACAACATTCAGTGTGTATGTCTTCACAAATTAAAAATATACGTATTCATAGAAATATGTATGAATGCGGAGCTAATCGAAATGTTTTGAGCGTAAAGACTTAACTAAATAAGAGAAATGGACATTTTGTAATGACATTTAGTGCACTGGAAAGGGCTGCGCAAACATCCTTCAAATTCAGTTTGTCTCAATCAGTGACAAATGAGCGAGAATTCAATTTCCAATGTTACACTATAAGCTTGACTGTCTCGCCTGTTCAGACCATAAGTAGCTTAATCTCTTCCTTTTCCATTCTCGTTTTCAGTATGATTCCCAACTGAGCACGAGTGAAAATTGGCGAATTGCATCCCGGCCAGCTCCCTGTTTTCTTCCAGCGGGACTCTAAATTCCGACTTTGAATGTACACCTTTTCTCGTCTGAAGGTATTATCTTCCTAATCGCAATGCTGCAAGACACTAAAAATGATACCTCTATTTAAGACGCCATCAATCTTTTACCTTAGCATGCATTTACATGTGCTCTTTGAGATGTTTGAGTTTAAGTCTTTTAGGAATCAGCGAAAAGAGTCACAAAACTTAAGTTGCTGCAGAGTGCAGACGACAAATGAGACACCATATTGGCGGGAATCCGACTCGAAAATTCCGTGATTATACACTTTGTGACCAACGCACATGTCCGCGACCCATGGTCTGGCTAATAAACAAGAAATGCACATCAACGACATTATATAAATTTGGTGTCTTTAGACAATTTGTTAGACATAGCTATTTGAAGTGTTAATATATCTTTGTCGAAATTTAACTCTGCGACACAAATGAAGCTCCATAACCATAACTAAATATTGAACATCATTTCAACAAGAGGGCGGAGGGGTATGTCAGGATAGGCACTACCACAAAAACACGATGACTCAAGATGTAGAGTTGAAAAGTTTTTATTGGCTGTAGATATGTACAATGTACAAACAAACAAGAGCGTCTGTAAGTGCAGATCTAGAAAAGAACGAAAAGAAAGAACAATCATGATTACATGTTCACATCAATGATACACAATCATAATCTAACACACGTGTTTGGTTTTAAATACCAATAGAATAAATTCAACTTTACCATCATCCGATTCGTCTGATAATGAAGAATGTCAAACTTGTATGATTATAATAAACTGTGTGTCCAAGACTAATCAGTCTCAACAAATATCAATCAACCGTTTTCCCATCATCAACTCTTTAATATGCCATATTATGCTTCTCCACTAATCTCATTTAGAATCCAAGTGACTAAGATAAAATGTAGATGTTACATCAACTAACAAAGACAACTCTTAACTCTTGACAAGAGACACTATGTAATCGATGTTTTCCTCTAACATGTGCATCCTGATTTAACCAACCTTAATTAAGTAATAATAAGTGCTTTCAAGTGCATATACGAAACAAAATAATGAATTATTTCAAGAATAACACAAAATATATACGGGTTCAAATGTATATTCGGCTACCCTGACTCACCCAACCAAACTCTAACAGCAGTTACACTGAAAACTCCTTGTTGCTCGGTGCTATACGAAACATTCCTGGATGCAGTCATCTACGAGGAATATACAACACGACACTAATGAATATCCAATACCGTGTACAAGATTGTATTTATACACCTATCTTTTGAGCTTTCTGTCCAATCCTATAATCAATGAGTATAGGGGAAAGGATTAATAAATCCAATCCATCACTTTTTAATCTAACCATCACAATACTGGTTCCACACAAAACACTGATTTTGTAATAATCATAGTGATTATAAAAAAAAGCTTCTTTCACTGTACGTGCCCCTTTGCTCGACTACCAAAACATATGAGGGGCATATCGAGATCGAACGTGGGAGTCACGGACGAAATGTGCGAGCTGAAAACCCGCATACTTGGTCCGTAGGACAAACGTGTGCCCAGGGCATAATATGTGTTCACATTGGCCTGTATCCGAGGGTGACTTTTAATTTCAACCTATCTGTGGGCCCTGTCGTATTAATATGAGTTGTGATTGATATCAATCGAAAAATAAGTTTCGATTAGTTGTTAATTTGGCAGTGCCCTAGTCTTAATTAACTCCATGACAACTTTTTTAATCATCTCCTTGTAGACGCTTTAAAATGGAAATTTGGAAATAAACTCAAACCCAGTGCTAAGAATACCTTGACTTGAGATAAAGATTTGTAACATTTAAACTAACCTGCCATGCTAGTAAACACGACAAACTCGACATCCATTATGTAGTTTCCCAAAAGCATACCAGTAGATGTCTGCACGATGGTCAATTTATCGTTGCATTCATTGTACCAGTCTCCCTGTAAATCACAACAATGACTTGAAAAAGAAAGAAATATGTTAAAGCATTAGATCATGCATTTAAAGAAGCAGGCACAACACCACCAACAGCTCTCTCTCTCTCTCTCTCTCTCTTTCTCTCTCTTTCTCTCTTTCTCTATTCGCCAACATTCGTCAGAAAAGTTGGCGAATCTAAATTCGCAACGTTCGCAACGCGGCATTCGCCGCTTATTGAGATAACCTGCTTAATACCAGTAAAACTGCGTTTCTCTTTCTTGGTCGGGAATATTTGTAAGAGGGGAAATCTCTCCCACCCCCTTGCCCTTCTTCAATACGCTAGTGCTAGATATACGCCTTGTGGCAGGTACATCTTTGCAGCTCCACGAACGCTTGATAATAATAATAATAATAATACCAAAATACTTTATAGTTTGTGATGAGCCAGAAACTCTAAAATGTGCGGCGGTCATTTATAACCAGAGTGATTAAGGATTATCAGAGAAGCGGGGAGGGGTCACATTAAAATCTTGAATACTGCTACCCATCTCTTAGCTCTCTCAGTGGGGAGGAGAAAAAGATACAAAGAATGTCATTTATTCTCAATAGGGGCGTTTTCGGCCCCCTGGATCTGCCTTTGTATGGGGGGGGGGGGGGGACTGGCGAAACTTGTTTTTGAATACTGGGATGACATTCAGCGCCTTACCAGTGCCTAACTCATAGGCATGTCATACTTACATGTGCTTGAGTGCTTGTGAATAATGATTCAGCCGGATTGCGACCTCCTTAAATTGCTGAAGCGCGGTATAGTAAGAGGGGATCTTTGCTGATCCGTGATGGCTTATTGGTCCGCAGTATATCACCTAAATAAGGGGAACCTGTAGAAGGCAATGTCAAATCACTGCAGTATCTTTCCAAAGAATAACAATGGCTAGACATCTAAAAAGTAAACATAATGGGAAAAGTATTTTTCTTCTCATCAGAAGGATTATTCTGTGCTCGATAGTGACTGTCATGTGGGACAGGTGACACCAGACCGTCATCCAGCCACTGTACGCAACAGTAGTCTAATGCAAACTATCCTCATGGTTGATGTTCATGCTTAAGTTGATCACGGTAGAGCTGACGGCATAGTATGGACCTGGAACTAGAAATGAAAGAGGAGAGAGATGGATAGAGTGGTGTACAAGTCAACATCAAGTTATTACAAATACATTTTTTCCACCATCCGAGACGACTGTGGACTTCGAAAAGTCTAGGCGACAGGTCCAGAAACCGGAGTGACTATATCACCACGAACAGGAAATGTCAGAACTCTATACATCGAGCTAGTTGGTTTCCAGGAGCTGACTGCTACAGCGACTATGTGCTCATCATATGTCACATGCGGGTCAGGCTGAGAACGTTGAAGAGGACGGAAGCAAGTCGGAGACTAGAATTGAACCTTGTATTAGAGAGGACAAAGAACAGAAGGAAAAGTACAAAGTGGCAGTAAAAAATAGGTTCAGCATGTTACAGGTGGAGGGGTGAAATGAGTCTCCATGGCCAAGGTTTTCTGAAGCTGTCTCCAAGGTATTTTTTTTTTAGCTACACAGGACAATCAGTTCGAATAGCCATGTCACAAAGCTCATACTGAGAGTTCTCCTTATGAGAGGAGGATCAAAGATTCGGCAAGAGATAGCAGAAGTGCAGTATGAATTTATAGACAGTATGGGAACTAGGAATGCTATGTTTGCCCTGCATGTGTTAACTGAAAGAGCATTGGAGGTGCGGAAAGATGTATATTAGTGCTTAAATAGAATAGACAAAGGCCTTCGATAGAATAGACATGAAGACCTAATAGCTATTTCTGTAGATCGGACATTGACTGGTAGGATCTGCGGCTGATAAGAAACCTGTATTGGAATAAGAAAGCTGCAATCAGGGTAGAAAGGGGTGACTAGCAAATGTACAGAGATCAAGAGAGGAGTTCGGCAAGGCTGCGTAATGGTTACTGTCTTTTTCAGGTTGAATGACAGTTAGACCCAGTTATTCAATTCCATGTAAGATATTTCACGCATTTTCATTTCGCTGTATAGCGAGGTGACAATGCGTAAAATATGTGACATGTAGGGTATTATAGTTGACGGCCAGAACGTTAACAACCTAAGATTATCATGCCAATTATGCTGTCCTAGTTGCAGGAAGCAGGTATAAGTTGCACGCACTACTGAATAAGGTAGTCATCGAAAGTGAAAACCTGGGCTAGCTGTCATTCAACCTGAAGAGGACAGAATGTTTGGTAGTTTCTAAGAAGAAAGATGAAACCAATTGTAATTTCCACATGCATCTGAACGGGGGGAAGCTTGCCCTACTTCAACCAAACAATCGACACTGTGTGTGTGTGTGTGTGTGTGTGTGAGAGAGAGAGAAAGAAAGAGGGGAGAGATAGAGAGGGGAGAGACAGACAGATAGAAAGAGAAAGAAGGAAAATAAGAAGAAGAAGGAGAAAATGGTGCAACAGAAGAAGAGGAAGGGGTGGCGGAGCAGGAAAATATGGAGGAAAATGAGGAAGAGAAGAATACTCCAAAGTCCAAATTCAAAACAGAAACAAAATGTCAAAGCTACAACTTCCGACAATGTTTTACAGAGACTTGCGTCTCATCCCTACCCCCGCCCCACTTCGGTGACGACCTGATTTTACCTATTTAACATGTTTTATATCGTACCCAAGTCACAAAGATCCCCTTCAAAGCCCGGTGCGCACATACAGATGAAGTCAACTCCGGAATTGACGCAGGTAGATCCGTTTGCGCAAGGGTCACTCATACAGGCGTCCACAACTAAAATGGGATTGGATTTTGATAATATTATGATTTTTGTATGCAGACGTGTGTCAATCGGATATGATTATATATTTCTCGTTCAATCGCTGAAGAGGTTCATCTGTTTGGTGATGTAACTTAAACGTTATTTCTTCCTTTATAGTTCAGCTTTTGAAGCATTTCATAGTCCTAGTAATACAAAAACCATTATGAAAAGGATGCCAATTAAATTCCCAATGAATCGAGATAGACAAAAGATAGCTGATAAATATAATAGTAAATGTATAATATTTATCACTTTCCCTAGTAAAAAGTTTTTTAGATTTCATTATTGTTGCTTTAAGCAATAATAAATAATAATAGTTTGTCCTTATTTAGCGCATTTAAGGACCGCAGGCCCTCTCAATGCGCTTTATAGATATATATTATTAACATTAGTGCCGCGGTGGGACTTGAACCGCGGACCTTGTGATCCACAGTCCGCTGACATATACACTCAACCACGATCCTTTTATTGATTTGGTTTTAAAAGAAAAACAAAGTTTCATACTGTTTTGGCATTCAGGTCCGTCGAAACCGGTGCCTGTGCAGAAACACGCGTATAGGTTGACCCCATCCGCGCAAAGACCACCATTTTGACACGGTGTACTCATACACTCGTTGATGTCTGGAACAGATGAAGAGAAAGAAAAGGGACATAAAATCGGTCACTTGGTTAAATAAAAAAAGGGTCATGATAGGATATATGCAGAATATGCTTCTTTTCATTCGAAAGCCTTGCACGTTCACACAACTTCTTTTCTTCTTAGAAATCTATGCAGATCTGGCTATATTGGTAATATTTTATTTACTTTATTCTGCAAAAGACTTTAAAATTCTAAATACTGCACGAATATCTTTTCTTCTCACTATGAATTTCCGAAAGATGGTAATAAATACTTTCTTCTGACTTTTTGAGAATTTCGTTATATCAGACCACAATTTATTCCTATGTACGTTGTAATAAAAAAGGATGAATTAAGAATGTAAGAGCAAAAACATAGAGTTTTCATAGTTTCATGAAGATACTCAAAGCTAACACTTTTCGAATATGAATATATGAGCATTTGAAGAGTCACCCTTGTCAGTCAGAGGAAATTTGCTCCCTGGCATCTTTCCATACTATCAGAAAAAGAAAGAAAGAAAAAAAATCACTTTTCCCTGAACTCAACTCTTTATTTGAACTGAAAGTCGGAGTAAATCCTCAAATATCAAAGGAGGAAACACTTACTTATTTGACAATTGTTGCCCTCGTATCCTGCTACACATGTACATGTGTACATTGCAATCTGATCGGTACACGTACCTTCGTTCTCACAAGGGTTGGAAGAACACTCGTTAATATCTGAATAGTGAAAAGCAGTGGTTAAACAAAATGTAAAACGGTCATGCTGAACATTCCACCCTAAACGTTTTTTCAGCATGAGGGTTGGTATCTAATTGGTTATGCTTGAATATGCACAATTGTATAATATTTATTAAACTAATGATCACTTTTGGCAAGTATTTGGCACAATATTCCTCACACGGGGAAAAAGAGGGTATTGCAATTTGCTTGTTTTGTTTATTTGTTGTTGTAGCATTTATTTATTCATTTATGTATGTATCTATCAATATGTTTATTTGTGAAGGGGCGGTCACACAATCGTCGATATCTAACCCGACAATATCCTAGCTAACAAACAAAACTGAGAAACATAATTATAAACAAACGGCTTTATCGTAAATGAAATCTGTGAAGGCCTGAAAATGTTGTTAGATAGTCTCTTGAACAAAAAACATGTCCTTGTCTTTTTTAGATTTCCTTTCTAAAACAACCTGAATATTAAGTAACTAATTTAGGCCAATATTGTTCAACAGTAAATCAAAATATCCAAAATATGATTGGGATGGCGCCTAAATATGAATTTCGAACTAATACAGTAAAGTGTTTGGTACGTTGTGACTTCTACCCACATGGTCCAAGAGTTTTGTCTTTCGGCAAAAGCCAGAAAGCTTCTTCTATCAGCATTCATTACTTAAATTTACTTTAAAAAAAAACTTGCATGGGGCAAGTAACTGAAATCAAGGATAAAGATCTGAATTACGTTTCACCTCACTCCTTCGAATTTTTTTTACTCATACAGTATCAACTTAAATCAAATAAATATGACGCAAAATTGGCTTCGGCTTTATTACAGGAAATATGAGGACGCTTTCTGAAATATCCATAACTTAAAGTTTAAGATTTGATGAATATCTTTCTACCTTACCACATAATCCAAAAGAAGTTTTAAAAGGGTGCCGGATTGCACCTTTTAGGAGACATGTTAGTACCCTTAATGTTTCAATCCTGCTCCATTTGGGATGCAAACAGAGGCAATAGCAGCACCTTTAGGGGTTCAATTTGCACCATTTAAAAGGTGCAATCCTGCACCCATACTCGAGGAATACTCTTGGAATCTGCTCGTACACAAATACATATTAAACACGCATGTTGTTTCTTGGTTAGTAGTCATTATAATCAATATATCTATTGCTAAAACGTGAATGTAATTGTAACATGATCAGACAAAAGAATCTATTGATTAATGGTTGCCGAAGGAAAATGCAAATCACAAATTGATGTGCATTGTAATAATTTGCTTAACAAATCATGATACATGTAGTTTTATGTGAACACGTGTAAAGTAATATGCATGCAATATGCAAACTTTTATTTTGTACCCTTTTTTGATCGATAGGGTTCATTTTTGTGGGGAGGGTGCACAATCTTATATTGCACCCTTTTTTGAACCCCTTTTCCTTCAATAGGGTTCATTTTTATTTGCACCGTTCTTTCTTAGAGTGTACGGGTAGATCTTTTTCTTTGTAACGAGCCTTTTAGCATACCCCCCCCCCCCTTTCAGCATAAGTCCGGTGGGTAAAGTCAATACGGGCAGATCTTTTTCTTTGTTACGAGCCGGAGATTTTGGGAACATGAATGCGGTCCCTCCATTCCCGAAGTGGGGGGGGGGGGGGGGAGTAGTACATGTAAAACGTAAATTTACACTAATATCTATGTGCTTTTCTCTTCAAATCTATTCGCGATAACGAAAAATAAAACCCCGAGCGAAATGGAAAAGGGGGAATGCAAACTGAAAAGCAGATGTCCGTTCAGATATAGCTCTTTTCTACACCACCGTATTTGAGTGATTTTTGTATACAGACGTGTATCAATCGGATATGATTATATATTTCTCGTTCAATCGCTGAAGAGGTTCATCTGTTTAGTGATGTAACTTAAACGTTATTTCTTCCTTTATAGTTCAGCTTTTGAAGCATT